TGACGGTTAGTATTATCGTTTAAAATTGAATTATCATCAAAACCGTATTTGATTATTGCAATTTTGAAAACTCGCGGTAAATCCTGTCCAGCCAGCATCAGTCTGACGCAGCTGACGCAGACAATGTTGTTGTTTTTTTTGCACGAGAGGAAATGGCAGAAGGCAGTGACAGCGCTCAGGACGCTCAGGAGCCAGAATGCGCATCCATCAACAGAAACGTACATTAGCCGAACCCTGTTTGATTTACGTGTTATTTATTGCAAACCATATTACAGATGCGTTGTCAGATTTAAGTTGAACCGCGGTCCTAGCGCGTGCCGAACCGTGTGTGGAGAACCGTATGGTTCGATTTTTTCCCGCGAACCGTTCCACCCCTAATATATATATATGATAGTTAATTAATTATTATTACAAAGTTTTCTGTAAAAGCACAAATTGACTTTTTTTTTTTTGTCCAGTGCAGTTTGAATGATGTTTTCTAGACACATACAACCCCATTTACAGGAAACAGATGGGAAAAACCAGGTCTAAACAGCACCTGAGAATCAGAGTGTTTTACAATCTATGTGTGAAACTCTTGTGCTGGGATGTCTGGTACCTTCTGATGACTTGGAGATTCCAGCAGATGCTGCTTTGATTTGTGTTCCTTCTCTGTGATCTCCCTCATTTTCAGGTTCACCTGCAATACAAAGAAGGGATTGTTATAATGAACATCTGAGGTTTATTTCATAAGTCTCCACGCTAGCATGAACAGACATGCTCTGTCCAAGCACTGAAAGTCCCCAACAGGACTAGACAAATGCAGGTAAGCTATTACATTTACATTTATTCATTTAGCAGATGCTTTTATCCAAAGCAACTTACAAATGAGGAAAATAGAAGCAATCAAAACCAAGAAAAGGGCAATAATATGTAAGTGCTGTGACAAGTCTCGGTTAGCCTAATTCAGTACACGTAGAAAGTTTTTTTTTTTTTTATAAATAAAGAAAACAAGAAGATAGAATAGAAGAATAAATTAAGAATACTAGAAGTATATAGTACTTAATAAAAATAGAATAGAGAGTGCAAGTGTTAGAGGACTGAATGTTTTTTTTGTTTTTTTTATTAGAATAGAGAGTGCTAGAGTTAGAGGGTCAAATGAAGATGTACATATATACTATTAGTACATCATGTAACACACAGTGTTTATTCAAACATAACCCTTACCATTTAACTGTTCAAAAGCAAGTTAGGCTGTTATGATTACTTCTGATACACCAAGGACAGTTCCAATTAGGGATGCACGATATTGGATTTTTGCCGATATCCGATATGCAGATATTTTCAACTCATTTTGGCCGATAGCTGATGTCGATACCGATATATTTCCTTTTGTTTGGAAACAACACCAAGTCTCTCCTGTGCAGAGATTATAAACAAATTATCTGTCATTTTGGTTATTTTTTTTAACAAAAACTTACTTGTGAGAATTAAATAAACAACAATGAAGTTCTTTTAAATTTAGAGTACACTGAAAGCTTTGAAAAATAACTATAAAATCAATCACTTTTTTTTTTTACAGACAGATGCAGTGGTAACCTTAACATTTTATTTGAAGATTTAACATTTGTAGATGGTCTAAATCAAAAGAGTTGTACAAATTCTGAAAATCTTTTAGAGCTCCTTGTATTTAAAGGGTTAGTTAGTCCAAAAATGAAAATTAGACTGTGTTTTACTTACCCTCGAAGCATCCTAGGTGTATATGACTTTCTTCTTTCAGACGAATCTAGTCGGAGTTATATTAAAAATTGTCCTGGCTATTCTAAGCTTTATCATTGCATAGCCGGCATCAGTCTGACGCAGAAGCAGCATGCAATGTTGTTGTTTTTTTTGCACGAGAGGAAATGGCAGAAGGCAGTGACAGCGCTCAGGAGATTTTTCAGCCATTTAAGAGAACCAAGTCGGTGGTCTGGTCGTATTTTGGCTTTTACAAGAGTCCTGAAGGCTAAGTTAAGTCACACCCTGAGCACATGCGAGTTATTCGTCTTATCGGCAAAGCATATCGCATAATTTTTCATATCGGGCAGATGCCGATATTTTCATTTTAAGCCATTATCGGCCCTTTCCGATAATATTGTGCATCCCTAATTCTAATACAAACATGACTTGACTAAAGCCCACACCCTTCAAAACACACACACCTTGTTGATCCAGAAGACCATAGCATCCTCAAGGTCAAAGGGGAGCTCCTTGGAGGCACTGAACGTGGAGAAACGCTTCACGCAGGTCACAATCTTCTCAATGCTGATCATCTCCACGGTGTAGGCCATCATCAATGCATCAATCATGGGGATGTGGGAACTCTGTGCCACACAACAGAGAAAGAGAATTCACACTACTGCATTAAATGCAGCATAATGAACAAGAAAATGTTACATTTTAATAAACTTTTTAAAAAACAACCTTCACAAATAAATTTGATAAAAAAACTTAGTACATTTGTAAATGTAGTATTGTTACACTAAAAATGTAATCATCACAAGTAGCATATGTTGTAATTAAATAAATACTTTAAATAAAACATTTATTATTATTATTATTATTATTATTAACAGTTATAATAACTATGTACAAATGGAAAAAATATAAAAAGCTTTTTTGGAATGAAATATGACCCAGATTGTCTTTCATCGTGTTTTAACAGGACACTGAAAATATGGGCTGTTTTTCAATTCCAAGAACGGACTTGTGTTCTCGTGGAAACCGGCCTTGCAGGCTACCTTGAAGAACGAACTCAGAAGAACACGAGAAAACAGAATGCATCTTTGTGAGAATTGAGATGCGCTGTGATATTGCTGCTGAACTGATGATATTCCCAGCACGTTTTAAGGAGCATACAGGCTTCCGTACGTCGACCGCCCACAGCGTCTTCTGGGATTTTTAACAGTTTGATTCTCTCAAGTCTGCATTCGATTAGTAGTCGACCGATATTGTTTTTTTTAGACAGCCGATGCTGATGCCGATATCTTGGAAAGCAGGGTGGCCGATGGCCGATATAAAGCGATATAATTTTATTTATTTTAATTAATATTTAAGAAATTTAAAATCATTTGAAAATTGATTAAAAAAATAATTTTATAAAATAGAAGTAAACACTGTAACCAACAGGGCACTCAGTAATCTGGGATGTTTGTGTGCATTGGGAATCATATTTTTTCAAACAAAGCCAAGGTAACACTCATTTTACATACAGCACACAGTGAAAATTACATTAATATGACAGTGGGCAAATGCATAAAGCACAGCATAATTTAAAATCACGAGTTCAAAGTTTGTTGATCACGCGTCTCCAGTGATGCTGAACTCTCCTCCTGTCAGCATTCAATTCGCACGGATCGACCGTCACGCAGAGAACACGCGATCATGCAGGATACACATGCACACTTCACAAGATCTCACAGCTGGATCCGACTAAGTTTGCAAGGTTTTTGAAATTGTATGTTTATTAGACATTCAAAGATTTGTTTAAATGACATAAATGCGTATTTGCTGAATGCTGACGGCAAACAAGACAGTATTATAATGTTTGCCTTTCTATTACTAATAATATAAAAGCAGTCGTTATAAGACTTTGTATATATTTTAATTCCTTTGTTTAAACGTTCTATCTGATTATTAGACAGACTTCTATCCGTATTTAGACAGAACTGTTAACGACAAAAGCGAACAAGAGGGAGAATGTGAACACTGTTTGCCCAGGCGCTGCCATTCTCAGCGCCGTCAAAATAAAAGTCACGCCTCGAACGCATCGGCCAAACAGGAAAACTTATCGGCCGATGCCGATATTTTTTTAAAAAAGCCAAATATCGGCCGATATATCGGTCGACCACTACATTCGATGCATCCTCGATATAAAGAACACATCCAGGCACTTTCATGCATTCTCTGTACTTGCGTTCTTAAGTACTGGAATTGAACTTTGACGGTTAATGATGACGTAGAATGAGAACACAAGGACGCAAGATCGCTTAAGAATGCATATTGAGAAACGGCCATGGTACTTTTAAAAGCTAGTAAAAGAAACATCCTTATACTCAGATAGTCCTAATGTTTCAGGGAGCTGTTATTCCTCAGACTAAGAAAAGTAAAAATGTGCACACAGCTCTCTGGGAATAATCTCATCCTATTTAGCCCAAAGAAGGTCATACTGATCTTAATAACAAAAGCACTGAGCCCAGTTAATCTGCCAAAATAAATCACAGTCAAGATGAAGTAAGTAACATAATATTTCACATTTGTGATGTAAAACCCTTTACATAACTTTGCTCATGCTGGCTACAATCCTGAACACTACCTCATGATTTGAATAACCTATTATAAAGTACACCAAGCATTTTAACATTCAATCTAAGTCTGAGAATATGAACTGTTATACGAAGCCCATCCAGTTACCATAGCAACCCCAACACCAGTCAACCACTGACTTGTTCATACGGGCTCAAGGTACACGTCAGCACAATCTCAGCAGATTGATCCCTGACTCAAGGCAATAGTGTCAGCAAACTTTCACAGTGTTTTTCTCAGATATGCATGTAAGACGTCTGACAAGCATTAACCAGAAGACTGGAACGTGAAGAGCTTTGGACTCAGGTAAACATAGTACTAAAGCAGGAAAGCACACTATCACACTACTTCTACCATTTCTGCAGTATGTGTACAGTGCACAGTATGCATGCAACTTGCATACATTTGCCAATATGTGGATTATCCACCTTTTTCCTAACGAGTCTATTGCATTTTAAATTATAGGAGGCACTTCCGGTTTGGGGAATTTCCACTCAAAAAGACTAAAACAATCATTTTAAATCATAAGGTTGCACTACAGATAATCCATATCTGTTGGTTTGACTGAATGAGCTGTAAATTTTCCTTCAAGTTCTATTTTCAGACATCTGGAGAATAATGTGCCACTTAAAATTTTAACGTGACATGGTATAACAAGAATATCTACGGCAAGAGATCTTTTCAGTCCACTGCATTCTTTTCCTCCTGATTACTTTCTATTTTCCTTTATATTCTGCTGTAACTATATGAAAAAAAGACAACAAACACAGTGCAGCCTGCTCTCCCGATGGAATAGACTAAGAATCTCTAATTTTTTCCCCCCAAATCCTTATGTCATTTCCCAGGTTTGTTTTTGCACGGATGCTTTAAAAATGTAATTGTTACATATGCTACATAATACAGACATTTATTACTAAGGTGATATTTAACACATCCGTAATTTTGTTGCAGATAGATTCGAGCTTTAGGGGTTATTCACAAAGTAATTTGTTAATGCTTTTACATTTTTAAATTTCCTTTTAATGTCCAATGGTTGAAGGGTAAGTACAATGTCACCTCATTGTACCTAGTTTTTGGGAAATTATTATTATTATTGTTTTATACAGTGAACCTTTCGCTGATTTTTTTTATTTTTATGAAAAATACTCCCATAATTCACGCAAAGCATCATGGGGCATAGGAAAAAGGTGGAGAACCAGAGCACACTTTGTCCAACAACGCAATACTCTCAACTTGACCAGTGAACCAGTATCTAACAACTGAACCAGAAGTAAAATCAGCCATGATGTTTTTTAAATCCTCATTATTTGATCAAAATACCTGCAGCTGCAACTTGCTGAATTACACATGCCATTTAAGCAGGTCATCTAGTCTACAGTACTTATGTTTAAAACATTTATCACTGCATAAAGTGCTCTGTCTCAAACACTATTTTATGGCAATTTACACTACCATTCAAAAGTCGGATGTCAGTAAGATTTTTTTTTTTTTATGCTTTTGAAAGAAGTCTTTTTATGCTCACCAAAGCTTTATTTATTATCAAAAATACAGCCGTTTTCTATATGAATATGTTTTAAAATGTAATTCATTCCTGTGATGGCAAAGCTGAATTTTCAGCATCATTACTCCAGTCTTCAGTGTCAAATGATCCTTCAGAAATCATTTAGCTAAAGAAACATTTTATTATTAAAGTTCAAAATAGTCAAGCTGCTTAGTATTTTTGAGGAAACAGTGATCCATTTTTTCAGGATTCTTTGATGAGTCTTTACTGTCACTTTTGATCAATTTACCATATCCCTGATGAATTAAAGTATTAATTTCTTTAAAGGGGTCATATGATGCTGCTAAAAAGAACATTATTTTGTGTATTTGGTGTAATGAAATGTGTTTATGCGGTTTAAAGTAAAAAAAAACACATTATTTTAAAGAATATCTCTTTGGATTTGAGACTTTAGTCTTTGCAACTTTACAGATCTTCTTTATGCACCAAGAGCTTGTAACACTCCAAAGAGAAAGGAAAAATTGAAATCGCATCATATGACCCCTTTAAAAATAACAATAAAATAAATAAATAACTGACCCCAAAATGCATGGTAGTGTACAATGAAGTAAGCAATACGCTAGTATTCTATTCCAAACTTTGCCTATGTGTGCAGTTACACAACAGAATTAAGTGGTCAACCAAATTTAGTGGTCAGTCAAAATGGCATTAAACATTCATGTCACGAGATGTAACAGAGAATAAAGAGGCTGCCATGAGACTTCAAAACAGTACGGTTCCCAAGGACCAAATTAACACAGCAGCATCTACGCCAGGGGTCATCTAAATAGGATGCTAAACAACATTTATTTTCATAGTACAGTATATAAAAATCTTTCACATAGCACACGGTTAATTAAACTAATTTAAAAATAGCACTTCATGTCAAAGTTTGTAAGTCCCTGTTTTGACTTTCATTAGTGATTGCACTCCACTCCCAAACTGAATACCAGGTATGTAGCACTGATGCCATTACACTGGTTCAAAGCAAACAAATGACACCTATACCTTTTAAAGTCATTAGGCTGTACCTACACACCTCAGAAAGCCATTCTGTTCAGTCTAACAGGTTTGTGTGGATCAGACCGTACTAAGCTCTGTACAGGGTGTGGGCTCCACCACAAAGATTTGCATTTGAAGTGATAAAAGCACGAGTGAGTGTACAATGCTGATTCATCAACATCAGTGATTGCCATTCAATGGAGAAAGCACCTCACTGGCTGACAGAATACAGCTGTGAATCAATGAAATCCACTCTCCACTCTCTGTTCTACTTTAGCTCAAGCACTGATCTCACTAATTGTTTGGACAGGTGTTTGTAGTGGCTATACATGAAGGGAAAAAACACACACTGGATATTTCAACAATAGCAGCCTTCTCCTGTCAGTGCAGTAGATATCTGCAGGAAGAGCTGTGCAAACCACAGTTTCCATGTCACACTTGCTTTTTCTTTGTCTGGATTTGGACTGTAATTAGTGCTTGCTAAGGCAACCATCACTATCATCATTTATTCCTCCAGATAAAATGCTGGTGCATGTGCTACAGCTGCGAACGATGACTCAAATCATGCAGTTTATTGAGGAGAGTGTTGCTATTACTACTTTATATAAGAATTATATCTTATATAAGGATGTCTTTTGACCTGGGGCTGTAAACAACTACCTACAACCACCCAAAACACCGTAGCAACCACTTCAAAACCCTAGAAAACACACATATGACACTGCCATATCTTGGCAGCAGAATATCAGAGAATTGGGGATGGGCTCTTTTGACCTGGGGCTGAGTACTGAGGTCCATACGGGACCCCTGCCATATCTTGGCAGCATAATATCAGAGATATGGGGGTAGGGATCTTTTGACTTATGGCAGTGTACAAAAACAAGCTCAAAAACCCAGCAGTGACTCCTCCACTGGCAAGCACCACTAATAGAAAATTTAAAGGTCCACTAAAGTGCCTTGAAACATGCAACATTATTCTATGGGGTAATGTAATTTAAACTGAAACAGGAAGACAGGGCGGGACATAGAACAACTCCGCCCCTTTAAAAAAAAAATTAAAATAGCCAAAAGGGATTCTTTATTCCAGCTCAGCCCGGAGCCGTTGAGCTTGGTAACGCTGCATTTGACAGCTATCCGCTCTGTGCTATCATGTCTCTGGACTGGAGCAGTGCACGCTGTGACAGTTCACACGAAACCAAACTTCAAAATATAGTTTAAAATGTAGTTGGGGATTGCGAAGCAAATAAATACAAGTGGACTATAATTTCAAATGCTAGCATACTGCTATTAAGTATTAATATCTTTTTTTTCATCTTACTAATGACAAACTTTTGAAGGGTAGTATGTGTGTAAATGTATATTATATTCATTAATAAAAGTAAATCACATATATTAATAAATATATATGCTAATCATGTATGCACTGACAATTCATACATTACGCACAAACATGCATGCTGCAAAAATAATCACCAAACATATACGACACTAATTGACGCACCATTTTGATTGGCTGGCAGGTCAGATCTGAGTCGGTGACAGGCGTGTCATCGCCCTCCACAACATAGATGCCTTTGCGAGCCAAGGCCTGGATGACTGACTGGTGGGACTGCAGAGAGGCCACCTGGTCGCCTTTGAGAATGAGGGCACACACGCGACAGTACAGCTCACATGACAGCAGTAACCGGATCACTGGGGGTTTAATGTGCTCCTGGTCATACTGGTCTGTGTAGAAAGGATCTCGCAGGTCTTCTGGGATGTGATCTGACAGGAAGACAAAACAATAAAATTAGGATATTAAGAAATTAAGACACTAATGAAATACTGAAGATTTTTTCAACTGTTATTGTCGCTACAACTCTTCTATGTCTGGCATCATATGCAATCTGCCAGCAATCCCTTGCTTTGTTGCCATTTAAAGGGGCCATGAACTGACAAAGCAACATTCTCTTGATCTATTGACATATAAGAGGTCATTGTACTATAAAAACATCCTGTAAGTTTCAGAACTCAAAACTTTCTCGTTAGTCTAAAAACAGCTTATATTAAAGCCAATATTCCAAAATGACAGGTTGTGGAATGTGCCACTTTATGATGTAATAGTGTGGCTAAACACCACCTCTGCAGAAGAAGATCAACGCCTGCTTCTACATCACTGCCTGTTTAGCTCCACCCATCGATTCATGCATGTAGTGTAAATAACAAGAGAGGCAAATGCAGGTCTATGTAGAAACCAAACGATAAAGATGCTCCGAAGACAACAAGATGCTGTGCAGTGCCAAGTTGAGAAAAAACACAGTCTTTGCATCACCTTCCTTCTGATCCCAACATTAGGAAAGAGTGGATGAAGTTTATTTTTAATGAAGATCCAAACCGTGTCAGTAACAACTCTGTCCTTTGTTCACTTAATTTTACCGTGGATTCATTTACAAACAAAGCACAATTTCGACTGAGGATTTTCAGAAAGATTGAAACTAAATGACGATTCTGTGCCGACTATATTGTATCCGACAGTAATGTCGCACCACACAAGTGTGAGTAACTTATTATTACATGGTCACTATTGCTTTGTCTGTTATTACAGATCGTTTGAAATGAACTGAGGATTTATGCGTTTTTAACCTAAATCACAGCAGCGTCCATTTGTGAAGGATGTAGGCTGTCAAACATACACAACAGTTAGCCAATCATAGCAGTGGGCGTTTACTTCTGCCACACCTATTCAAAAAGAGCGTTCTGATGAGGGGGTCAAAACAGGACAGAAAATAGCCAATTACTTCTAAATTATGATGTTTTTTATGTAAAAATCTTGATAACATTATAAGTGGACCTCAGTGAACAGAACAAAATATTAATAAAAAAAGGCAGTTCACGACCCCTTTAACGCATTATGTGTTAGACAATAGCGTGATGGTGTGAAAAGCAAGCCATAGGGCTCTACTCTCTTCATGAGATCTGTGCAGACGCAGATGAGCTATGGCAGCTGGGGTCCGGCTCAAACCACAAGGCTCAAACTGAGGGGAGGAGGGCCAGACGTGTCCTAATCTGGGCAGCCATTGCTCCGTCTTCTCCACACCCACCTCACAAACATCCACACCCCCTGCACCAGTATCGCCCAGGAGAAGCATATCATTAAATGTGAAGGCACTGGGTCCAATCATTCATCATGCATTTATGCAAACACCTGCCCCCTCTGATGTACCACATGGAGCTGTCTGCTTTGTTCCAAACCAGTATGTCTGCCACAAGCAGGAGTTGTTTAAAGACTGGTACTTAATAGTAACCAAAGTCTTATTTTTTAATACATCAGATTTAAAGCATGAATATTATTCAATTATGACACAGGAAAGTAATCATAGCATTAATTGCATTAATGTGCACAGGGATATCTACTTACAGCTGGGATACTATAATGAATGATTTTAGTATTAAAGGGGTCATATGATGCTGCTAAAAAGAACATTATTTTGTGTATTTGGTGTAATGAAATGTGTTTATGCGGTTTAAAGTTAAAAAAACACATTATTTTCCACATAGTGTACATTATTGTTTCTCCTCTATGCCCCGCCTTTTTGAAACGCGTCGATTTTTACAAAGCTCATCGGTCTGAAAAAGCGAGGTGTGCTGTGATTGGCCAGCTATCCAATGCGTTGTGATTGGCCGAATACCTCAAGCGTGAGACGGAAATGTTACGCCCCTCACCATACTGTTGATGCCGTGTCCCGGCCGGAGCGACGAGACAAAAACATTAAAACCCATTACAAACGAGGCATTTGTTGCATCCAGTGGGGACATAATTACTGATTATAATGACTTATACTGTCTTTTTACGAGTTGCGTTGCATCGCGCCGCGTAAACATAAAACCATGTCTCAAATCGAATCGAAAGTTTGTGAATGAGAATTGAATCAAATCGTGAAATTTGTGTCAAAACCCAGCCCTATTAATTATACTAATACTATAATGACGGTATTTATATGAATGCATAAATGTAGTGTCTACTTTAGGTCCTATAAGAGATCAACATTTCTTTTAATTTATTCAGCATTCTCTAGTTCATTTTAAATGGCCATGTGGTGTGACAAATGAATTATTAAGTATATAACTTATACTGTCAATTATATAAATCTGTCAATTCTTATGAGGTCATAAAGCTGCAGGCATAATATTTAAGAATTTCGATAACACTTTACAATATGTATTAACTAACATTACTAACAATGAGCAACAGATTTGTTACAGTATCTATTAAATAAACTGTTCATTGTTAGTTCATATTAGCTCAGGTCCATTAAATAATATTAAGAGAAAACATTTGATTTTAATACTATTAGTAATTATGAATTAACATTAAACAAGATTAATAAATGCTTTAGAAGTATTTTTCATTGTTAGTTCATGTTAATTACTGTAGTTAACTAATATTAACATATGGATGCAAATTATTGTTACCAGAATTATATCTTAAAGTGTGTGTTAACTATATTAAACATGAAAAATTCATAAATCTACACCAAAAAGCAAGAAGCAGAAGACATGACAGCCTTAAATAAGGGTCCCAGTTGCAATCATTTGCATTTATCCTAACTCTCAGATAAAAATAAATAAATAAAAAAACTGAAATGGACATTCAAAAGGACATTCAAAGCAGTCATTAGCAGAATGCAAAGAAGCCCTACAAATCTGGGCCACTTCTGACAGTAAAGAGGCACATGGCCTTCATAGCCATTCAGGCCAATTACTGGGCCAAAACAACTCTGCTTTGAGAGACAAAGAACTTCACAAGAATGGTGGGGTAACAAACTGAACCTCAACCCACAAAAAAGCACATATTTGACCCTTCAAGAAATGCAATTAATTTTCTCCCATTTTTACGTAATAAATTGATATCCATGTTATTATTATTGCCAATTACTATTATGGCAAACTGACACACCCTGCATAGACAGTTCAGATAATTAAACATTCAACAGCAGAGAGAGAGCTTCCTCAGCTTTAAAATGAGGTCAGGAGTCTTACACACCACATTTCTGTTTCACTCACTGATGATGGCAGAGTGGGGTGCCTTTTTGTTAAAGGGGGTACAGATTACATATCAGCACATGCTTGAATACATCCTCTAACAGGATACCATTCCACGGTGCCAGTTTTATGAGGTGATCTAACAGAAGTTGCATTTTGGAAAATCTATTTGTGGCGGTCAGTGTTGATATTGTGGCGACCCACCACAAATAAATCAATGTATGGGAAACACTGTTGTATATATTTTTTAAACGTACCCAGGAAATCCATTTCTGTATCATAGCAACACCACAGTGTTTGGATATTTTAAGTAGCTTGAAGAATCATGTAAGGTACATGGTATTGTATGTGAATAAAAACAAAAAAAAGTAGCAGCTTTTGTTTTTTGTATTTAATAATAATAGGCTAATTAAAATAATTAAATACAAAATTCAATAAAAGTTTTTACTAATATTAGTTAGACTAGCCTATTATATTTTGCTGCGGTATCAAAATTTCAGTGGTATTGAAAATATTGGTATCATAATATTGGTACAACCTTCTTTCCGGGTTAAAAAAAAAATACCATGCTACTATCATGGTTGTTGAGATATGCATCATGGTATTCTTGGAAATGCTTTGTAAATATTGTACTATGTAAATACCCTGGTAAATGAATTTCAGCAGAATCCATCAAAGTACCATGGTATTATCATCTGATACCAGTGCAGTCCAATGTTTCTGTACTTATCTGTAAGGTGAGGTAGAATGGAAATACCATGGTTTTATTAAAATATCCCAAGATCATACCATGGTACATATACGTATCATGGTATCCTTTTAAAGGTGTCATTTGACGTTGCTAAAAAGAACATTATTTTGTGTTTTTGGTGTAATGAAATGTGTTTATGCGGTTTACATCATAGACTGAGGTCAGCATGCGCGCCGAAGAGGAAACGGGAACTGAATTCACCGGAACACCGGCATTGTAGGCTACTCTCCCAGGAAACAGTCCTCGTCCTCCGTAAAATGCGTACATGTGGGGGCGTGTTTGAACGAGGCGTTTTAGGAGGGCGTGGACGAGTCTTAACTTTTATAAAGAATATCTCTTTGGGTTTGAGACTTTAGTCTTTGCAACTTTAGGGATCTTATCTATTCACGAACAGCTTGTAACACTCCAAACAGAAAGGAAAACTTGAAATCGCATCATATGACCCCTTTAAGTACTATGTAAAGACAATAGTATATGTTCAAGTAGTATGGAAATACCATTTTTGGACATGTAACACAAGTAACTATGATTATGGTAATCATTCCCATAATCATTGCTCAGTACCATAGTACAGTGATGGTATCAGGTGGAAATACCACAGGGGAGCAGCACACATCTGTCTGTCTAGCCAACTGTCTTTCACACAGAGTCGGTTAAGAAATAAAGAGTCTTCACCCTCTGTCCTGTTTTCATTCATAAACACAATCAAACCAACTCACCGATACCGAAGGCTTTGGCAAACAACCATCGCAGATTCGCCGCTATTTTGGCTCGGGCTGAATCATACATTTCCAGCGGCACGATCTCGAGCGCCTCGCCCGCCGCCTCCATCTTTCTGCGGGTGCTGTCAGCACCCAGCTCCGCGTCCATCCTGCGACCACCGTCTGCAAACACACATGCACCATCACTTTCAAACACCCTTAACGGCTCTCTTTTGTGGGCATGCGGCGTTTCATAAGCTGCATGTCAAGGATTGGTGTGTCATGAGCTTTGGAGCAATAACTCAATTCTTTAGCGTTCGAGCTAGCTAGCACATGAGTATCTTTTATTCCAATACTACCCACTAAAATGTGTAATAATAATAATTTCCCAGACACAAACGGCATGTAAATTTGTTACAAACAGCTTCGGAGCAAAACAAACCTGACCGCCTGGATCCTGACAAGATAAGCTAACAGTTAGTCTGTGATTAGTTTATATATGCAAAGTAACTACCTAGCCGTCGCCCAGGCAGCTAATAAACACCAAAATAATTTATTAAATGTTCAAACACTCACATGGAAAGGTAGATTTAACCATCTGTCAGAGCTTCTGTCCTGACCGTAAACTGGTTTGCATGTTTTGACTGAAAGAGTTACCAGCAGCTAACAGCTAATGCTGCTTAATGAGATGAGGAGTAGCAACCCGCAGTTAAACAACAGCCCCTTTGTCAGCAATTAATGAAAACGGCCACATTTACCGCCACGTACCTTCCATATAATGACCTATCAACAATCCACTCTGGCAAATCTGTGGGTGAGAAATGAGAGAAAAGGGTAAAAGGCTCCGGCGGGAATCATGAGGCCACGTTTAGTCCGAACAGATACGAGTGTCGGTGGATGAATGGCAAACCCTTGAGAGTTACAGCCTTCACTACTACCACATTTCAAAATAACAGCAGCAAACAGAGACTGTAAATACAGTTTAAAATGCGAAGTATTCGCTATGTGCTGTTGTGAATGACAGTTATGCAGACAGATATTGTTATTAGGCCTTATGTTGTGTTTTGTTGAGAAAAGCACACACCTGTTTTACCTGTGTTTTTAAAAGACAACTGGAAATGCTTCTAGGATGATGCTAAATTCTTATAGAGGTGAGCTGAACTGATTCTTGATCTTTAATTGTATCATGATAATTATTTGTTGTATTATTTTTGGTCATGTTTATGGGCATTCCAGCCATATGGATTAAGTATCAGGTTACACATAATGAGCACTGATAAAACAGTGTTGTTTAGGGGTCTTTATTGCAGTGTCTGTAAGTTGTGATATCCAGTTTATTATTTGCAGATGCCTGGTGAATTTATGTATTTATCTATTTGTATTTGGGTCAAAGACGAAAAGGTTTTCAAGCATCAAAACAATAAAAGTACAATACAGCTATTTTCTGTACATTAGAATGTGTCCTGTTTCATCTTTTTTTATTATTTTATGTATTTTTTTTAGTAATTGTCATTTTAAATCTTTACTTAAATCTTTACAATAATAAGTATTGTTTCATTTTTACATAAATATATCTATTACGCTGATACCCATATTTTGACATTTTATTTTCCCAAAAGTTATTTAAAACATTAAAGTATACACTTTACATGCATTTAATATACTTTTTGTGTATATAAAATCACTTTTGTAAATTCAAAAGAATCACCCCAAGTGAAAGATATAACACCGTGTCAGAAAAAAATTTAAAAACCAGAATAAGTTGGAGTATGCGAATAATGACAGTAAAAAAATAATAATCATACTTTATAGCAAATAATCAGAATAATGAAAATTGCATGTAAACTGGAGTGAAGAGGTTTGCTTGTGTCATGTAAACATCTTACTGCGATTAAGTCTCTGATTATTGGAAATAATTGTGTTATTGGTGCACATGTAAACGTAGTCAATGGCACACAAAGCCATTTGACTTCAGCTGTGGTCATTTTGATTAGCTCAGCATGAAAAGAGCTTTCCTGGAGCATTTCAGTGCTTGGTAGTGCAACTGAAGCAAACAATCAACTATGGGTGGAAAGGCACAGTCAAAAGATCTCCGGGATAAAGTTGAAGTCAGAGGCAGTTGCAGGAATTTATGACAAAGAGTAGTCATTGTGTGCATGTGACAACAATATCACAGATTCTCCACAAATGTGGCTTGTATGGGACCAAACGATATGTCTGGTGGAAATCCAATACAGCTCAGCATCCAAATAAAACCATTCCTACAGTAAAGCATGGAGGTGGTAATATCCTGTTATATGGGTGTTTCTCTGCAGCAGGGACAGGAGCACTTTAGGATAGAAGAAAAAATGGACGGGGCAAAATACCGTCAAATTCTTGAGCAATATCTGCTGCCCTCTGCCAGAAAGTTGTCAGTTGGAAGAAGGTTTACCTTCCAACATAACAATGAACCAAAGCACACAGCAAACTTGAGCAGTTCTGCAAAGAAGAGTGGGCAAATATTACAAAGTTTGTGCAAAATTAGTATAGACAAATCCCAACAGACTAAAGGCTGTAATTAAAGTAAAAGGTGATTCAACAAAATACTGACACAAGGGGGTGATCCTTTTTCCAACTCAGTGATTCTGTTTTGTTTTTTCTGACATTTTGGTGTTATATCTTTCACTTGGATATTATAACTTGTACTGAATAAATACAGCTGGATAACTGTGTCCATCTTAATTTCAGGCTGCAAAGCAACAAAATGTGACTATTTTAAAGGTGGACAGGCACAAGTCAGGAGATGGATACAAACAAATTTCAAAGGCTTTATCAATGCCTAGAAACAAGGTGAAGTCTATTATTAAGAAGTGGAAGGCATTTGGTACAACACAGACCCTCCGTCGCTCCAAACTGGATGAAAGAGCCAAGAGGAAACTGGTCAGAGAGGCTACCAAGAGGCCTACAGCAATTCTGAAGCAGTTGCAGGAATTTATGACAAAGAGTAGTCATTGTGTGCATGTGACAACAATATCACAAATTCTCCACAAATGTGGCTTGTATGGGAGGGTTGCAAGAAAAAAAGCCACTCCTCAAGTAAGGCCACATGCAGTCACAACTGAGCTTTGCCACAATGCACCTTGACGATTCTGAGGCAGATGAGACTAAAATTGAATTATTTGGCCTCAACACCAAATGATATGTCTGATGGAAATCCAATACAGCTCACCATCCAAATAAAACCATTCCTACAGTAAAGCATGGAGGTGGTAATATCCTGTTATATGGGTGTTTCTCTGCAGCAGGGACAGGAGCACTTTAGGATAGAAGAAAAAATGGACGGGGCAAAATACCGTCAAATTCTTGAGCAATATCTGCTGCCCTCTGCCAGAAAGTTGTCAATTGGAAGAAGGTTTACCTTCCAACATGACAGTGACCCAAAGCACACAGCAAAACTGACCACACAGTGGTTGAGAAGGAGAAAAAGGTGAATGTCCTTGCATGGCCTAGTCAGAGCCCAGACTTAAACCCCATTGAAAATCTGTGGAATGACTTGAAGACTGCAGTCCACAAAACGTCACCACCAAATTTAACTGAACTTGAGCAGTTCTGCAAAGAAGAGTGGGCAAATATTACAAAGTTTGTGCAAAATTAGTATAGACAAATCCCAACAGACTAAAGGCTGTAATTAAAGCAAAAGGTGATTCAACAAAATACTGACACAAGGGGGTGATCCTTTTTCCAACTCAGTGATTCTGTTTTGTTTTTTCTGACATTTTGGTGTTATATCTTTCACTTGGATATTATAACTTGTACTGAATAAATACAGCTGGATAACTGTGTCCATCTTAATTTCAGGCTGCAAAGCAACAAAATGTGACTATTTTAAAGGGGAATGATTCTTTTCTGATGCAAACACCAAAATGGGATGTCTTGTCTTTGACCAATATATTATTTACCAAGCATACACTATAACACACTTTTGTGTTCAAATATGAACACAACATATGAACACTTTTACTTCTGCACTATTGAAAGCATCCTAACAAACTGCATCACAGTGTGGTATGGCAACTGCACTGTCTCAGTCCAGAAAGCCCTCCAGCAGGTGGTGAAAACTCTTCATATATATTCAGCACCTGGGTTTGGAGTTCAATACGCTGAGTGACAGCTGAGGGAAAGATACTGTTCCAGAGTCTGCTGGCCGACAGCGAAGACTCCTATAACGTCTCTCAGATGGGAGAGGAGTAAAGAGTCTGTGGCTGGGGTATGAGGAGTCTTTGATAATGCTTCTGAACCTCTTTAGGCAGCGTTTGTGGTGAATGTCTTTGATGGAGGGTCGCTGAACACCAGTGATGTATTGGGCAGTTTATTTGCAAAAAACGATAAACGCCACTTTCAAAAAAAAAAAAAGAGCTGATTGCCGTGCATTATTCTCTACATATAGCGCGATCTGAACCCTAAAACACGTTTTGTCAAAAAAAGCTGGTATTGTCCACTTTCAAGGCATCGCGAGTTCACGTTTTACTGCAGAAGCTGACAAGAGCCCTTGTTGTTTTTGAACAGAGGCCGATAAGTCCATTTTAGCGAATCAGCGGGCTGTATTCAGGTCAGGGGATGATATTTCAACAAAATAAGAAAAATTTGGACATAAAAGTTTACATTCAAAAGTTTTCAAAACTGCCCTTCGGAAGCAACAAATATAACAAAAATATTTTTGCTTAAGGTTATCATACTGTCAAAATCTCATACCGGCCATGCCTAATATACATACATACTTTGGAAAATTAGATAACAGTAACCACTGTAGCAAGAGAGAAGATTACAACAAAAATTTTGGAGGGTTACAGTTGTCAAAAATAAAGTAGGAATTTTGCAGGCCCTTGCTTTGAATGACTTCAGCACATCTGCGGCTGCAGGACATCGCTAGTTTCTCACACTGCTCCGGTGTTATCTTGGTCCAATCTTCTTCCAGTCTCTTCCATTGTTCGGTAACTGTAGTGGGTTTCTTGACCATAACTTTGTTGCCAAGGATTTTCCAGAGATTTTCAATTGGGTTTAGATCAGGACTCTCGGCAGGCCATTTCATTATTTCAGTGTTCTTAGCTTCAAGGAACTGCTTTACCCGTTTTGCTGCGTGACAGCGGGCATTGTCTTGCATGAAAATTCCAGGCTGATTGGGAGATGCTTGCAGGAAGGAACTGCATATTGCCGCAGGAGATTCTGATATACATTTGCATTCACTCTGCAATTGGAACAGTAGTATTTGTTTATTTTTTCTTTGATTTGTTTCTGAAATGTTTGCTGAATTGTGGGCTGTCCTGCAGCTTTTGATGTGGATGGTTGATTTGCTGCTAGAACTACTGCTGCCCTAAAAATAAGAAAAATAAAGACTGACATCTTTATTGAACCTAAATCTGTTATTACAGTTATTTAATTTTAGTTATATAATTCAAATACATATCATTCATATCATTTAGTTATATAATTTTATATACATTATTTGATATTCCTTTCTACTCGCCGCAGGAGTTTTGCTCGTTCATTCTCGTCAGTGTTTACATTCCTCCGCAAGCGCATGTGAGCTCGGCTTTACAACAACTAGCTGATCAGATCACAGAGACAGAGCAACAACACCCGGACTCTGTTTTAATCATTCTTGGGGACTTTAATAAAGCAAATCTCTCCCATGAACTGCCAAAATACAGACAGCACATCACATGTCCCACCAGAGACAGTAATATATTGGATCACTGTTACACCACAATAAAGGATGCATATCACTCTGTTCCACGGGCAGCTTTGGGGCTCTCTGATCACTGTTTGGTTCATCTTATACCGACCTACAGGCAGAAACTGAAATCAGCTAAACCTGTATTAAGGACCGTAAAAAGATGGACTAATGAAGCAGAGCAAGATTTACAAGCTTGTTTTGACCTCACT